GGGAGGGGGGGGGTGTGTGTGTGAAAATTCCCCCAAAAAAATTCGTGCAAAGGAAAATGCCTGGAAAAAAAATTCGTGCAGCCATTACGTCAGAGAAAAAAAATTCGTGCAAGCAAACAGCGAAGTAGAAATAGTCTTGAAAAAAAATTCGTGCAGAGGTTAAATACATTAAAAAAATTCCTGCAGAGACACGAGACTGAAAAAAAAATTCGTGTCGCAAAAATTTTATACCCCCCCCCCTCCCGGGATTTCTAATGGTCCGCCCCTTAGACACAGTACTTTAGATTTCAATAGTTTCACAGTTAGGCCATATAAAATAAATTCCTTGATTCTCATCGCTAAATTTTAATAAATTCCTTGATTCTCATCGCTATAAGCCCATTTTTTCTTTCAGTATTCCAAGCATCCCTTAAATGTTGCAATATTAACGATAAAACAATTTTATATCGCAAAAATTCTAATATAAAATATAACAAAATACAAAAATACAAAAATATAGTATAACAAAATACAAAAATATCATAATCAACGCGGAAACCAAAATATCGTCGGGCGGTGATGAGAATCAAGGAATTTATTTTATAAGGCCTTAAGCAGTGTTTAAATTAAAGCAGGTTTGACAAGCTTTGATACAGTTCTGTGTACAGAATACTACAGATTGATTCTCGTAAGATCTGGTAGAGTTATCGTCGCACTGAACACGAGTTTGCACCGCTGACAACGGCGTTGTGCTAGACAGTAAACAAAGAGAAGGTCCGTGACAGTACACGTTGGCTACATGTACCTCCTCGCTTTTTTCTTCTATTGCATAAAGCTTGTTGGCGAGCCAAGCGATTGGCGATAACACGTTGGCGATAACACATTTCTTTAGTCTCGCAAGTTATTTTCCTCGTAAACGCCGTACAAACATTTACCAGTTTAATAGTTTTTTATGCTTTATTGATCTGGTACAGATCTGGTGCAATTTTTCGCTGTTTGTACTGAGTGTAGCCATCTATTCTGTGATGTAGCACCTTATACAGTCAATGACAATGTATAATGAATACACGGTCTAAATAATATCGATGGGCACTTACATATCAATTGATGCCGGTAATGCATAACATAAATTTATATATTGTATTATTGCGTAGAATCTCAAGATTTTCTCAATATTCATGTCTGAAATGTTTATATACTTGAAAACAACACTGTCTCGCTTCTGCCTACGTACTGTACCTCTGTATAATGAGTATGCCGTGAAAATAATATCGGCACTCAATTGAATGCCTAGAATCTCAAAGATTTTCGACTCAATATAACAATATTTACGTCTGAAATGTTTATACACTTGACTGCACTGTCTAGGCGGTCTAACTCCTTCCTAGCTCTGTATAACGAATATACCGTCTAAATATTATCGGAACTTAATTGAACGCCCGTAATGCATAAGATCAATTTATATTTTGCGTAGATTTTCAAAGATTTATTCAATATTCACGTCTGAAATGTTTATACATCCGAAAACTACACTGTCACTCCTTCCTTGCATATCGTCACGCCATCGTGATCTACGGCTTGATAGCGCATGCGCATTTGCGCTACTAAAGAAAAAATCGGGTGTTCCGGGGTAAAGATCCTTTACACAACATGTGAAGCGAATGTTCTAAAATTTACAAAAAATTACAATAACGAAAGCGATTCCTCGATATTTTTGTGAACTTGGCAAAAGGATAACAGAATATGTAAATAAGTTAACTGAAATTGCCTAAATAACCTTCAAAGCACTGACTAAGTACGATAAATCACTACGAACCTATATCGTATACACCCCCCGGAAAGTTTACTGTATGACTGAATGAATGAATGAATGAATGACTGACTGACTGATTCGTGTGAATTTCCCCCCAGTCATCACAATACTGTGAAGTTTCGAAGAAACTTCACACTAAAAATGATTAAAGTTAACTATAGACCCATTGCACATGACGTCACAGCGCCTGCATGTGACGATGCATCTGGAGGACAAATTAGCAATCTGCACATGACGTCACAATCTATGCGTAATAGAACTTTTGTAAACAAAACAAATTTTGTAAAACTTTATTATAATTTTGTATTAAAATGGTCAATTTTTTAATGGTCAATGGTCAATGGTCAATCGTTAGAGTGTCCTCCAGATGCTCCTAGGCCTAACAATATCTGTTCGGGTACAACAACCACATACACCGAAAAAAATTGACCATTTTAATTCAAAATTATAATAAAGTTTTACAAAATATGTTTTGTTTACAAAAGTTCTATTACGCATAGATTGTGACGTCATGTGCAGATTGCTAATTTGTCCTCCAGATGCATCGTCACAGGCGCTGTGACGTCATGTGCAATGGGTCTATAGTTAACTTTAATCATTTTTTTTATACAATCGGCCCCTGACACTGTCACAGCATTATAATTATTCACGGCAGCGAGTGAGTAGAACCACTGTCAATATTATCATGGTTTATTTTTCTAATGTAAGTATAAGAGAATCCGTTACTCATTACTCACAATATACAAACACCCATTGGAACCCAACTATAAAATATTATACCAATTCTTAATTTGTTTGCATTTAAGTAATATTATAAAACACATTTATATGTATCAATTACATAGTTCGAGCTGTAGTAAACAAAGGGGAAATCCCGCTTACGGGGGGTTGGTCCATTACAATAGCATACCTAACTTATGCGAGGCCTACAGAGTAAACTAAAAGCGCTAAAGACAAGCTGATTCTTTTAAATAATGTGTAATTTATCAGGGAAGAACGAAAAATAATATTTAAAGGATATGATAATTTTTGGCTGAGATAGAGCGTTTTCAGTAT